GCTATTAGTTGGAAAGCTACATTACAACATGTAGTAGCTTTATCTACTACCGAAGCAGAATATATGGCAGTGACCGAGGCGATCAAAGAAGCTTTATGGTTGAAGGGTCTATTTGCGGAACTCAGTTTACACCAAGGTGGTATTACCATTTTCTGTGATAGTCAAAGTGCCATTCACTTGACTAAAGATCAAATGTATCATGAGAGGACGAAGCACATTGATATAAAGTATCATTTCATCCGAGAAACCATTGCTGAAAGAAAAGTCTTTGTTCAGAAGATCAACACTAGAGACAATTCTGCTGGCATGTTCACAAAACCTCTTCCAGTATCCAAGTTCAAGCTTTGCCTGAACTTGATTGGCATTTATGAAGAATGATTTTGCCCATTGGGGTTTTTGCGGATAAGGTGGAGCAAATTTACTATATATACGCCGAAATTAGGCCAAGGTGGAGATTTGTAATATGGCTAAATTTTCATGACATTTGCCATGACATAATATCCATTATAACAAATTTGTGGTTCATGACATTTGCCATGACATAATATCCATTATTAGGCCAAGGATTTCTTGCTATAAATAGAGGAGTTTCTCCTCATTTGCAAACACACCAATTCAAGAGCTTTTCACTCTTGTCTTTCTTTCTCCTCCTTTATTTCATTATAGAGTATTTTGTAAGAGAGTGAGTGTTGAGAAACACTTGTGTGAATCTTTTCTTTGGAGTGATCTTGTGAGGCTATTCTTTTGGGGTATTTGGGATTAATTATAGTATTTACTCTAATTTTGTACTCTTGTTGGTATAATGAAATTGCTCCTCGCCGCTTGTGGACGTAAGTCACCTTGACTTGACCGAACCACGTTAAATTTGTGTCTTCTTTATATTCTTTAATTGCCGTTATTATCAACTTCCATTGTCTTTGTTATAGTCATTATACCGTTGTTTGGCTAAATTCCGCACTATCTGGGTTCCCGATCCTAACAGTCAATTTATTTATTTAATACGAAATTGATGATTTTTCAGCTTCAAAAATTTCGGGATGAACTTAGAAACCGTTCCCAAGTCCTAAAGAAGCTGGGTCACATAGATGCTGATGGTGTTGTGCAGTTGAAGGGCCGAGCAGCCTGCTTGATAGACACTGGGGATGAACTTCTTGTGACTGAACTGATGTGTAATGGTAATGTGACTACTCCCATATGAGCATGCAATTTAACTACTTTGGACTTGATTTAGGGTGGGATCAATGTGTATGGTTTGGAAAAGCATAAAGACGATGCAGTTTTCACTCTTAAACTAAAAAAGCGAATGAGTTCAAATTAAACCGAGGTATGGGCTGCCTGGGTTAGTCTTTTTGCGATCTAAAGATCTATATACAACCACGATGGCTGCACTGGAAGTAAAACTAAAAAGAACTAATCCTTTTTTTCTTTTTAATTGTCCAGTAGTCTCTTGTATGTCTATAGGTTCTCCTTGAATGCTTTTGCGAGCTGGATTCAGTAATCACTCTGGGTGCTTTAGCTTTCCTTGGCCATCTGGCCCTTTATAAGCTGCTTATCTTCTGTTTGACACTTCCACGCATTGGATACATAGTACTCCTGCAGTGGTGCTAAACGTAGCTACAAATCACTGATATATGATATTCTGAATAATCTTGGTTTTGCTAGGTATGTTCAATAATCTTGATCATCATCAAACTGCAGCTCTGGCAAGTTGCTTTATCCCAGGGGACAAATCAAATGAACAAATAAATTTAAGAGCTGAGCTTACTGGACCATTGCAACAACTACAAGATAATGCAAGAAGAATAGCAGAGGTCAGTCTAGCAAGGGTTTTGGTCTTCAATCTTTGTGTGTCGGAAGCACAACTAAAAACTCTCTGTGTTTGCAGATTCAACGTGAATGCAAGTTGGAGATAAACGTTGAAGAATATGTTGAAGCATCAGTACGACCATTCTTGATGGATGTCATCTATTGTTGGTCAAAGGTGACTAAAGCTTCAATTGTCATGTGTTGCTCAATTCCATGCTTGAAATAGAGATCAATACTAGAAGTTCATCTTTATGTCCCTACTTTACTATCATATATTTGTATTCTTGTTTTTCTAATTTTTTTTCCTGCAAGTCAACTCTAAAGGTGCTTATATTGAAACTAGGTTTCCATGCTTCAAGCCAGAGAAACTACCATGTAATGGGCATCATCTTCCTGCAACCATTGCCTTCCAAGCTCCTGTATTTTTTGTTTTCTGTAACTGATGGGTGAAAAGTGATTTTGTTAAAAATCATACCTTCTTTTTTGGGGGGGGTGTGAGGGGGAGCCATTACAACAGATTATACATGAGCTAATCAGAGAAACTAACCAAAAACCAAAGTCTGTCCTTTCAACCATTAACTTCCAAGCTCTTTATTACTCCCTCTGTCCCGTTCTATATGACACCCTTTCCTTTGTAGTTTGTGCTAGAATAACACATTTCTATGTTTAGAAACAATTTAGTTTAAACTTCCACCACAAAATTATCTATAGCATGTTTAGACTTTAGACCTCAAGTTTTAATAGTCTTTCCTTCTTTCTTCATATCTGGTCAACACTATCACATAAATTAGGATGGAAGGAGTACTTGCAAATCTATTGGAAGTCCTCTGCCTTCAGTGTTGACCAAACTCTGTTCTCATGTTCATCTTTTTGGTTAAGCTCCAGGATCGTGATTTACTGTCACGACCAAACTCCCACCTGAGCCGCGATGGCGCCTAACACTACTTGCTAGGCAAGCCAACAGCTTCACAATAACAATGAATTCAATAAAACAGTATTTAATAAACTCAACAACGGAAATATCATGAAATAACTACGAAACAACAGTAATACCACTACAACCATCCCAATAATCTGGTGTTAATGAGTACATGAGCAATACTGGATATAAAAAAATACAAGGTCAAATCCTCAATACAACTGTCTGAACAATAGAACAGTGATAACGGAAGTAAATGAAAGAGAACTTCAAGGTCTGCAGGCGATATAACAGCTACCTCGTAGTCTCCCAAAAGTTGGAACCAACACAACTCTAGCAATCACCGCGTCCGGAAGTATCTGGATCTACACATGAAGTGCAGAGTGTAGTATGAGTGCAACCGACCCCACGTACTCAATAAGTAACAAAACTAACCTTGGGTTGAAAACAGTGACCAATATCAATAATCAGCAACAATTCAGGATATAAAGGAAACAATATAAGTAAATAACTCAATGATATCATGTTCAACTCGTTCACATTACAAAAATTTAGACATGCTTTCCAAGTATAATAGTTAAAGTCCAACACAGATAAAACATTTCATTTACCAGCTAGCATGAGGAAAGTACATCTCTATGCCTACATGTCAAATACACATGTCAATTCAATAGCATCTCAGTGAAACCATCAAGAATAACCACACTCACGGTGCTTGGCACAAGGCCCCTCACTATCACGGGGGATTTTGATTTTTAAGACACTTCAAAACTATATCAATTTTTAAGACAAAAGTGTTAAGAATGGGGTAGAAGGGACACTTTTGTGATTAGTGTTAAATGACATAATTTTTAAAACCCCCAAAGTTTTCTTATTTACAAATAAGTCCCCCACCTCCTCCACCCCTATTCCTCCTCCCCTCATTCTCCTCATCCACCTCCTCCTCCTCCCCTTGTTCCTCTCGCAACGTTCCTCTCTATCCTCCCCTTGCTCCTCCATCTCGCAACGCTCCTCTCTATCCCCCGACACTCCTAATCCTCAAACATTTAGGAACATGTTTCAAATATCTAGAGAAATGTTTCAAACATCTACTGAGATGTTTCAAAACATCTGCACAAATGTTTCGAACATCTGTGGAGATGTTTGAAATATCTGTGGAAAAAAGATCAAACATCAAAAAGAAAGAAGCGGAAGAAATATCTTGAGGGATGTTTCGAACATCCCCGAGATGTTTCGAACATTCCGAGAGATGTTTGAAACATCCCGGGAGATGTTTGGGGGGATATTTGAAACATCCCGGGGATGTTTTGCATAATACTCATTTATGGGAATGTCTCAAAATATCTCGATAGTATTTTGCAGAATACTCACTTTGTAAAATTTCATATTTTGCTCTTTCTCTCGTATATTTTAAACAACTAGAAGAAAATAAAAGATAAAAAAAGAAGAAGATGAAAATGAGATGAAGAGGGAAAGAAGAAAAAGACAAGGAAGAAAATGAAGAAGAAGAAGATGACATGAACGAACCAACAGCAGCAACAATGAAAGTTGAAGAGAAAGAAGAAAGTAGGGAAGAATGAGAGAACGAGGAAGAGAAAGAAGGAGAAGAAGTAAAGAGGAGAAAGAAGAGGGAAATAAAAATTCGAAATAATTTGAATGAGTATGGGTTTTTAATTTTTTTGAAAATTTTAATATTTACCCACAACTTTTGTTATTTTTAATCTGACCCCCGAACCTCTTTAATTGCATATGTTTTGTTAACAAAAAAATGTGTCCTAAATTGTTACACAATACTTCAAAAAGTCTTTTTTACCTAATTCTTCCCACTATCACACTCAACTACACTCAGCACTGTACGGGTGCCTGGCATAAATGCCCTTCACCAAAGCATGTGTATATATCACTGCAACTACACTCAGCACTGTACGGGTGCCTGACATAAATGCCCCTCACCAAAGCACGTGTATATATCACTGTGCCTGCGCTCACCGTAAATATCAGACTTCGGAGGGGCGGATCCTGGCCCAAGCGCTAATCAAAAGCCAATATGGTCTTTTGCGGCGTGCAACCCGATCCAAATATAACTCATAACACGGCTCTATGGCCCACATCAATCAACAACCTCTCAAGTCTCAAGGGCTCACAATCTCATAGAACTCAGCTCAAACAGTATCACATATGGAAAACAACAACATGTGATGTAATAAACAAGTAATATACAGAGACTGAGATATGATATGCAAATGAGTAATCATGACTGAAACCCTCAGGGGTTGGCCTGGTGGCAATTGACTTGAGCCTTGGGGTTTGCTCCCTTTCAAGGTCTCAAGTTCGAAACCCACTGGGTGCAAACAATTTCTGAGGGCCATCGGACTGGGTAAAACCTGAATTAACCGTGGTGCACTTGCGGGAAACTCCTTGTCGAGGGCCTGTGCACCCCCGGGATTAGTCGGGGTTCAAAGAGACTCGGACACCCGGTGCAAAATCAAAAAATGAGGAATCATGACTGAATATAAAAATACAATTAAGGCAAACAACATAAATAGCCCTATTATGTCTCAGCCCAATAAGCACACAACCTAACATGATTTCTAACATGAATCCTAGCTCCAATAATCATAAGAATAGAGAAAACACGGATATAACAAGGCATGATATCAAAACAAAGTCTGGTAATAGTCTAAAGTCCACTCGGATCATGAATACTCCAGTGCACGCACACACGCTCGTCACCTAGCATGTGCGTCACCCCAACACATCTCATATAACATTAGTTGTCAGGGTTAATTACCCTCAAATCCAAGTTTAGATATGTTACTTACCTCAAACACGGAAATCAATACTCCAAAAAGCCCTTCCCACGCGAATCGGTCTTTGAGCGACTCAAATCTAGTCAAAACAACTTAATATTAACAATAGAAGCCATAGGAAACAATCCCAAACAATAAATCTAAAGTCTTTATCCAATTATGCAAAGTCAACCCCGAGCTCGCATCCCAGAACCCGACGAAACTTATAAATTTCGAACACTCATTCCGATACGAGTCCAAATATATGTGTTTCATCCATTTCCAACTACAAATTTCACCCTCAAATCATCAAATCTCACTCTCCAATAACATAGTCTAAAATCCCCAAGTTTCACCTTAAATTCACATAAACTAGATGTAATAATCCATTGGTAATCAATATCTATCATCAAAATTTAATAAACTTCACTTATCTCTTCAATTGTGGTGAAAAGCCTCCCAAAAATTACCTCCAACCGAGCTCCACAATTCCAAATAGTGAAAAATGACCAAACACTTCGAAAATATAAAGTCTGCAAGTGATTCCGCATCTGCGGTCACTTGACCGCATTTGCTGCTCCGCTTTTGCGGAGATGATACCGCATTTGCGATCCAGCCCAATCCTCAGGACTTCTGCGCTTGCGCATCTGCGGTCACGCATTCGCAGATGCGGCCCCGCACCAGCGCCAGGGCCTCCGACCTGCGATCTTCCCCAACTCCAGCCTAGCTCGCTTTTGTGACCGGTCCTCAGGTGCGAATGCACCAGATCAACAACACTTTAGCCATGCAACACAAATCCAAACAAGCCGAAACCAATCTGGGTGGGGACCCCGTCCAATCATTTTAACCAATCCCAAAACATAACACGAATCTACTCGAAGCCTTAAATCACATAAGACAACTTCAAAATCACGAATCACACCACTTTCAAGCCTAAGGAACTAAAGAACTTCCAACTTCCAAAACTCATGTCGAATCACATCAAACCAACCCGGAATGATCTCAAATTTTGCATGCAAGTCCCAAATAACACAACAGACCTATTCCAACTCCCGGAACCAAAATCTGGATCCGATATCAACAAAGTCAACTCCCGGTCAAACATATCAACCTTCCAAACCTTCAACTTTCCAACTTTCGCCAAAAAGCACTAAACCAACCTACGGACCTCCAAATCCACATCCAGACATACGCCTAAGTCTAAAATCACCATACAAAGCTATTGGAATCATCAAAATAACATTCCGGAGTCGTGTACACAAAAGTCAAACTCTGGTCAACTCTTATAAACTTAAGCTTCCAACCCTGGGACTAAGTGTCCCAATTCACTCCAAAACCTCCCCGAAACCAAAACAACAACCCCGGCAAGTCACGTAACGACAAATACACATATTTAAAGCATCAAATAGGGAAAATGGGGGCTAAAGTACTCAAAACGACCGGCCGGGTCATTACATTTACCTACAAGAGACATATTCAGGAATATTAATCTGCTATAGGGCAATTATTTTTTATTCTGGAACCATAATTTTCTAGTTGGAACTGCTGATTACTTTTGCCTACCTTTTTTATGACTAATACCAGTTGGAGGAAACTCGATTGTTATCAAACTAGTTTTTCATTTTTTTCATGGAAGAGTATTTTTCAGTTCATTTCTAGCTCAGTCTTTTTTTTTTTTGATGACTGAGAAATCCGTCTGGGGCCATTTCTAGCTCAGTCTTCAAGGAATCGTTTTAGTTTTGCAAGATTCTTTGAATAAAAATGAATACTTCCCTAAATAACCTGAAATACAGTTTACTGAAATGAAGGTTAAAAGGATTTTTCTTTCCACATTGAGTTGACCCATGGTCTTTCCTTGCCCCCATTAAAAGTCAGAAAAACTCGGAGGCTTTAATTTTTTCTCTTATTTGTATTTATGCTTTCTCTTAGGGAGCGTCTTTCGCGGAGGTTATACAAATGACCGATATCTTTGAAGGTAGCATCATTCGGCTGGTACGACGGCTTGATGAATTTTTGAACCAGGTAATTCAAGGATACTTTTGTATTGTGTTTATGTGGAAAAATGTACCAGACCTTAAAAATCGTGGATTCGACCAGCTAGTTTGGTGCATCAAGGAGTACTTTCTCTAAATAAGTTTATCTTTTTTCATCAACACTTTTGACATGAGCATGTCAACATTATATAATACTTCTAGATATGAGTTCCCCCCATATATATTTGGAATCAAACAGTTGAAATTTTTCTCGTGGATTTACAGTTGAAAGCTGCTGCACATGCTGTGGGAGATGTGGCTTTGGAGAACAAGTTTGGTGCAGCCAGTGAAAGCCTCCGACGAGGAATAATGTTTGCAAATTCTCTGTACCTCTAGGAGCGTGTACTTGGGAGCTTCATTAGCATTAGATTAAGTGCTGTGTAAATTTTTCCCAATTGACATGGAGATTAGCTAGCAAATTCTTCATTTTGTTGGGTTTTTTCCCTTTTAGATAAATTGACGGAGCTTCTTACTGTTTGAGGAGAGCAAATGTGTAGCGGAAGTGGGGTTTCCTAGTCGTAGCTTTTTGTAGTTAAGTGGCATGAATTTGCTGTCATATTTTTGTAATACACATGAAAATTTTGATGCTGGAAGGCAAAATATTTAACCTGAAAATGTCTTAGCTATTGTAGGATAGGCACAGAATGTGAAGACTTCCATTAATTTGAACTAACTAATGATATTGGGGATACAAAGAGGTAACAAAAACTGTAATATTCATTGAAATCTTTATAGAGTAACAAAAACTGTAATATTATGCAGCAATAGGCTTGAAGACAACCGTGGAATGTTTTGCAATGTGCAAGCTAAACTGCCCTCCTTTCTCACTTGTATCAACTTTTCCTACACCTGGAGGAGCCTGCATTTCAAAATTTGACACCAGTTTGGCTATGACAAGCCCCAGAATTGGCAGTGCAAGGATGATTCCGGGGCAGCTCCGCCTCCCCATACCGAAGGGCAAGTACCTGAAATCAACCTTGCCACCAGCAACAGCTGCCTCTGTGCTACTATCCTCCTCGAGAAACCGCTCGGGCCGGAATTCGTTCTGGTTTTTCCACCAGGCAGGGTTGTTAGCCAGCCACCATGCATTCACAACCACCTTAGTTTCTTTAGGAATAGTGTAACCACCTAGCTTTGCTTCTTCAAGGTTCATATGTGGTACAAGTAAAGGTATTGGTGTGTGGAGTCTTAATGTTTCATTTACTGTTGCTAGCAAGTAAGGCAGCTCATGTAGGTTTGATTCTTTGACTGACTTTCCTTTGAGGACTGTTGAGATTTCATCCCTAATCTTCTGTTGAACAATGGGATGATTTACAAGCTCAGCTATGGCCCATTCCATGGACCATAGAGTTGTTTCAATTGCTGCAACATTGATATTCTCCACAATATAGAGTACATTTTGCTCACTTATTTCTCCTTTCATTTCAGCATCTATAATGTGATCAATAGCACAACATATCTTGTGTTTTTCTCCATTTTCACCCATTATTTTCCTGTTCTCAAAAATATTTGAAGAAATTGTTAACATGAATAGTCACTATTGCACTAAAAAAAAATTAACATAGTTAGTAGGGAAAAATGAGTTACCTTCTTTTCCCTACAAAATAATTGTTGAAGAATGCAAGTCTCCTTGTTTGTAAGTCTTTGCACTTGTTAAGGTACCCTTTCAAGAATGGTCTAAGCAAAGGGATAAAATCACCATAATTGTAGTCAAAGCTCTGAGCTAATCTGCTTCTCTCTGAATTAAACTTTGTTGCCTCAATGAACAAAGGATCATCTTGGGACTCAAACTTGGCATCAAACATCATTCGATACATAATGTTATATAGCATCAGCTGCAATCGTTTCCTAATCACAATTCCGTCATATTTCACTTTTTCATTCTTCTTCAAGTCATCAACAACTAGGTCCATCTCATTCTCCCACATATCACTATATTGGTGCACCACTTTGTTAGTGAAAAATGGAAGCGTCATAATACGCCTCATTTTTCGCCAATGGTCACCATAAATGGTGAACACCATGTCTTGTCCATTACCAGTAAATATATCAAAGACAACGTTACGTGGACGGGACCCAAACTCGACCCCTTGCGTGTGTAGAACTTGGTTAGCTAGCTCAGGGTTCGATACCACAGCTAGGTTTTTTGAACCAAGTTTGAGTAAAAATATAGGACCATAGGTTTGTGACATGGTGGCAAGGAGTTGATGGTTCAAGTCATTGCCAACTTGAAGCCAATTACCAAAAATTGGGACTGCTGTTGGACCAGGTGGGAGGTTGTTTTGGGGCTTAACACAGAGGAAGTTGATTATTAGGGGAAGTAAAAGGACAATAAGTGAAATGTACTCAAGAGGGAAAGGTATAGAGAGGTAGGAGGATAGTAATTTGGCAAATGAAAGAAATACAATTGAAAAGAGAATGCAAAAGATGGTGTTGTTGAGAAGTTTGGCCATGTTTTTAATTAGCTAGAGGTGAATTATGAGAAAAATGGACACAAGGGATTGGAATGAGAAGGGACGTATATATGAGTAATATCATGGTGGGGGTAGAAAAGTTGGTGTCCAATGGTTTTGGGTACAATCCATGGGCACGTCGAAAATCTAGGTAGGAGAACGTAAGTTTATCTATAAGGTCAAAGATGGTGGTTGGTAAAGCAAATTTACCTACATTTAAACATTCTTTCTATGCAATAAAAAGTGAAAGAATCCAATTTGTCTTAAATTAATTTCATTTTACGGTTTTCCGCATTTCAAGACGGTTGCCACCAATATAACAAGAAGAGTCTAATTAAATTTTATGTATTGATAGGTGAAACTATATTTATATAATCAAGTCATTTTAAACTAATTACAAGTATATCTTTATAATAAAACGTTAAATAGATAACATGTTAAAATGACAACTAACATGCAATCACAAGTTAAAATTAGTTGATAGTATAAAATATGTTTTCACTGTTAGTATCACAGGTCATACTAAGTAGTGGCAATTTCAAGTACCTTGGTCGGTTATTCAGAGGGGAGGGGAGATTAATGAGGATGTAACACTATATTGGGGTGGGGTGGATGCAGTGAAGGTTGGCATGTCTTGTGTGATAAGAGAGTGCCACCGATACTCAAAGGTAAGTTTTACAAAGCGGTGGTTAGACCGGCCATGATGTAAGGAGGTGTGAGCGACTGGCTTTGGAGGGCACGAGAAGAGGTAGAAGACGGCCTAAGAAGTATTGGGGAGAGGTAATCAGGCAGGACATGGCGATGCTTCAGATTTCCGAGGACATGGCTCTTGATAGGAAGTTGTGGAGGTCGAGTATTAGGGTTGTAGGTTAGGAGATAGTTGAGTCTTCCTTACTTCGTACCTTTGTGAGGCTAGTCTTGTAAGGTTTTTGTCGATGTCAGCTAGTGAAAATGTTGTGTCTTACTACTCCTTTGTTTACTATAGTGCCGGGTCTATGTACTGTCTATCGCGCTTGCTTTGCATCTACTTTCTCATTTCCATGATGTTATTTTCCTATGGTTTCTATTGGTGATACTAATATTGTCTCTTTTCGTCTTCTTGAGTCGAGGGTCTTTTGAAAACAACCTCTCTACTCCCTCGGGGTAGGGATAAGGTCTCTGTACACACTACCCTCCCCATACCCCACTAGTGGAATTTCACTGGGTCGTTGTTGTTGTTGTTATTGTTGTTGTTGTCAGTGTATATAACTAGGGGTGTATATAGGCCGGGTTAGTTCGGATTTTGTAATTACCAAACCAAATCAATTGTATCGGGTTTTTAAATCTATAGACCAAACCAAACCAACAAAAGTCGGGTTTTTCAATCTCAGTTTTTCTCGGGTTTCTTGAATTTTTTGGGTTTTTTCCCGATAAACTTGTGCTCAATATTTCTTTAGTCCTAAATACGATTTTACCAATAATAACCATGTTTTTATTTTTTATTTTTATTTTTTAGCATTGACCTAAAATATGTTAGTCAATAGGTTGTATGGTTCCAATTTCAATTCTAGAAAACTGATGGAAACTTTAATCAACCATCACTCCTCAATTCTCCTTACTTTCTCATGTTTAGTAGTGTCCATTGCAATCGCATCCGGAGACAGTGAAATAGTCATAATTTACACAACCATGTAACTATAGTAATTGAACTTTTCAAATAATATTTCTTCTGCCAACGCAAAAATACCAAAAAGATAAAATGCATATCATATTGTACTTTGCATAAGAATTATCACCAACTTTTTAAGAGTAGACATTACAACCAAGAGTCCTAACAAATAAACAAAATATATATATATATTAAACTCTAAGAAGTTGATAGTGTTTGAGCTAATTGAGGGTTTTGGTCTAATGGAACGTAGGGTTTCTTGCCTTTGGAGAAGAGGCAAAATGGTTTCGATTGTTTTAGTCTTTTAGAACTAGTTTAGTACTAGTCTAGTTCTGCTTTAGAACTAGTTTTTGGTTTGGGCTCAAAAATACTTTTATGGGCCAGACAAAAAACAAAAAACACTTATATGGGCTATAAAACCAACTCAAAATATTATGCTAAATATAGAAACTATAAAAAAATTAAGAAATATTTATAACTTACATTCTAATAAATATTTTTATCTATCTAATATTTTAAAATATGCATACATGTAATGTCGGTTGGTTTGGTTCGGTTTGACTTTTTTTTGTTTAATACCAAACCAAACCTATTATGGTCGGGTTTCTTTTCAATATCAAACCAAGTCAAACCAAATTACTAGTCGGGTTTTATTTTCGGTTTGACTCGAATTATCGGATTGGTACGAGTTATCAGTTTGGTTAGTACACCCCTATATACAACTTAAATCGTGATAAGAGAATTAACCTTTCTTTTCTTTGGTCAAGTTCCATGATTATTAAAAACCATCCTTTTGATTATCAGTTGAATATTAAAACCTCTTTCTAAGTATTACAACTTATCAACTTGCCTAATTCGGTTCATCTATACTATATATTCACAAACATATGTGAGATTGATATTAACTCTTTGTAGTACTGTATACGGTCAAAATCGGTTTCGACCTTCGTATGAATAGTCAAGATTGGAATATAATGGACCGAAGGTAATCTTTATAATATCGAGATGAGATCTGAAGCCAGGATACCGAGGTCAAAGTCATTATCGAGCTCGGGTCCAAATCGAACTATGATGTGAAGTGGTGTTATCGAGTTCAAGAGCTAGAGACCGACCAATACCGAGACTGAATCAATACCGGGCCCCGAGTCAATATCGAGCTCTAAATCTGGAGATCGACCAATACCAAGTCCGATCAAGATCTAGCTAAGAAGACAAGAACCGTTATAGCCGCACTAAGGGAGAGAATCTCGGCGGGAATTAAGAAAAAACCAATTAACTAATCTATCATGGGATCCCCACTATGTATTTTTTATTCTAAAGTAGGGTTTTCTCCATTATAAGAAGAACGACTATCATTTCTGTAAAGGGCATCAAGGCATCTACATACTTCCATATTGAAAAGATTATTGATATTCATATAGAGATTATCCTTTTTTGGGCTTTGTATATTGATTCGTCTTGCTTGTTCATAAATCATTTTTCACTCAATTTGGTTTTTATTTCATTATTTTTAC